GGTACCATAGGTGGTGGTACCATAAGTGGTGGTACCATAGGTTGTGGTACCATGGGTTGTGGTACCATAAGTTGTGGTACCATAAGTTGTGGTACCATAAGTGGTATTAAAGGGTGGTGGGATCGTAATTAAAGGGCGTAACTAAGGGGTGGTGCGTAATTAAGTGGTGGTAGTGTATGCAGGGCTTACGTGCTTCGAGTGATAGGACGTAGGACTGTTATATGCGGGACCTTCAGTGGCGTAGATATCCTAAACACAAAGTTTGTGTGTGGGTGCTACGGTGTTACCGTGTAAGAGTCGACATGCCTGCGGAAACGGTTCCACGGGGGCGGCGGCGGTTGATCGCCCGGCATGAAATTTTTGAATCGGATTAATCGTTGCTTACCTTGTAGCCACGTGGTGCGCCACGATGCGGCGTCGTCCACGGACCTCCACGACCAGGAACCCTCATCATGTCAGCCGGCAAACTTAAGCCGCCACCCTGACCCGAACTCGGCCCCGTGGGCGACGAAGACTGCAAAGTCACAGCCGATGGGACTTTCGGAGCCATGACGAAATAGCAAGAAAAAACTAATCCGAAAAGAGATACCCCGTCTCACCATCACAAGCCGACTCAGATTGGCCGACTCCTGATCAGGTTGAGCAGAGCAAACAGAGTCGCGATTGATCGGGCAGAGTGGTGACCGTGCGGCTGTGGCGATCATACGTAATCGTGATCAAGGAGCGTAAGGCAAAATCAAAAGTGAACGGACTAGCTATTATAGGATCCTCATCCATTGTTCCAGATCAGCCGGTCGAGAGCCAGTGCGGCGAGACCCATTTCCGGCAAAATCAAGTTCGGCGAGACACAGTCCGGCCAGACACGGCGAGACACAGTCCGGCCAGACACGGCGAGACACAGTCCGGCCAGACACAGTCCCGTGCAGACCAGTACCTAACCTGCGTCTTTACTGCCGCACCTTTGGGCACTGGCTGAGGAGGCAGGTGTACCTCCGAAATCCAGCAGGACTGTAGACACCCCAAAGAGTTGTAGCCCCCCTGTTATTACAAGGCGCTTGCCAGGAGACGTCAATCAATCAGTCAGTCCACCGAGAGCGAAGGGAAGAGCTTCTTAAAAACGGCATCCTTGCTGTTGTATGCAGTGGACCTGGAAGAGACCATGTGTATGTTTGTGTCTAGCTTACTCTTTGGCGAACTTCTGCTTAGCTGCAGAAGTGGATGGAAATCCTCCAGTGGTTCCGGGCTCGGCTGGGTCTACGAAGCACAGCAAGAAAGTGTGCCACACGACGGGTGTGTGCTGACGGGGCGTACCTTCCATGAACGACCTGATGCCGAGCAGCACTGTGACCATATTCCACGCAGGGTTCCATGTTTCGGGATGGAAGTCCGACATGGTGAAACAGATGGAGACATTCGTAACGAATCTGCCGCTGGGAGTCAACATGCGTATATTCGGCGGTAGAAAGGGGTAGGTCTTTGGATACGTCTAAAAGCAGGGAGAAAAACGTCGGGTGGGGGGGGG